TACATGCCGTCCGTGTGACCGAACAGCAGCAGGCTATAGAAGAGACAGCACGGGCATGGCACGATAGGGGAGAACGCCGGGCAAAGAGGAGGAGCAGGAGCAGGAGCAGGAGCAGGAGCAGGAGCATGAGCAGGAGCAGGAGCAGGAGCAGGGCAACGAGCGGGGGCAGGGGGCAGGGGGGCGGGAGGGGGGGGGCCTCCACTGCAGCACCGGGATGATGAGCCTCTGCTGCACGAGCTGCATCCGCCTGCCGCGCGGGGGGGCGCGCCGCCGGCGCGCGCGCGCGCCGCGCGCGCCCGCGGAGGTGGAGTCCGAGGGGGCCGGGGCGCCTTGAGGGCGGATCGGCAGGAAGTGGGGAGGGCCCGGAGAGGCGCTCCGACACGGCGGGAACAGAGGCTGGTCGACGCACCCCCACAGGACACACAAATAAATACACACAAATAAAAAGATGTACCATATTTTCGTATATTTTCTGGGTTTATGTCTTCCCCCCCACTTCACATATTTTTCCATATTTTCTGGGGAATCGAGGATTAATTGTGTCTGTGTGTTTCTTTTCCTCCTGACTCGAGACGGATGGACCTGGCGACTCTTCCACGCCGCCGACCCGAGCGTGTCGGATCGGGGAGGTCCAAAAGAAAGGGGGGGCGGCTGGCGCGGGGCGCCGTCCGTGGGCCTCTGGGGGCCCTCGCTCTGGGCCTCTGGGGGGGCCGTCGGCGCTCGGCGCGGCGCGCAGGGGCGGCCCCGGGCAGGAGTGGCCTCCGGTGCGCGGCTTCTGGGGGGCCGCTGGGGGACCGAGCACAAGCGCGCAGGACGCTGCTACTGCATCGCGTCTGTAGGGCGACGCAATCTATACATATCCACTGCTCCCTGGCCAGGCTCATCCTGAACACAGCAGCTGTGTATACGCCACGCCCTCCTGGTTTGGCCAGGAGGGCGTATACACAGCTCCTGGGTTCAGGAAGGGCCTGGCCAGGGAGCAGTGGATATGTATAGACTTCGTCCCCCGAGTCTGGCGATGCGGGGGCCAATGATGTATGCCCGCACCAGAGGTCACTCCGGCGAAAGGTCACTCTTACGTCTAGTCGATCGATGAACACACGACTCGGGACGAGAAACCGGTCCCGGGGAAGCGGTCCAGACGTTGGACGCCCGAAATGGGTACGGAAAGAATGGGTACAGTGCCCAACAACAAATGTTGTCCCAAACCAACAGCGGCCGCTGTTGGGCAGGCGGCCTTCTGTCTCGAATGGACACAGGCCGCGGCGGCGCGGACAGCGAGTCCTGTTCAAAATGAACAGGATCCGCTGTTGGGCATTGTGCCCATTCTTTCCGTACCCATTTCGTTCGTGCAGACGACCTCTGGGGCCCAGGCACCGAGGAAAAATTGGAGCAACCCGATGTCTGGGGATGAGCACTGGCAGGGTGGCGAGAGCATCGATCGGCTGCGACTCGCTGCCGGCAGTGCTGCTCTGCACCCGCGGGGGGCCAGGCAGAAAACGGCGATGCATCCGTGGCGGACGTTGAGACGCGTGCGTACTGCGTGACTGTTCGACTGGCCGCTGAGTTTCCGCCGCGGAGGGGCCGTGGCGAAAATCCGCTCGTGGCGCCGCGGCCACGCGCGCGGCGTCACGGCGCAGAAAGGGCCGAAGAGGCGCGTGCACCGGCCCGGCTCACGCAGTGGAAGACGGCGATAACCCATGCACTCGGAAGAGGGGAGGGGAGGGAGAGAGGAGTCAAATCCGTCGCCCATGTCCCCGTTCCTCCTCCCCCATCCCTACCTCCTCTCCCCCTCCCCCTTCCTTCTCCTCCCTCTGTCGCCTTCCGAGCCCGCCCACCACCCCCGATCTCTGCCTCAATGCCAATAAACAAGGCGGAATTCGCATGGGCAATAAGGTGCTGTTGCTCTCGAGCGTTGGCCGCACACGAGTCAAATACAGTGGTTGCTCTGCACGACAGCGTGGTTGAAGAAGTACGTCCACTAGGGACGGCCTTTAGCAGCCTGCTGAGGATCAATATCGGCGCGGTCGGATATGTGATATGTGGTCCACGTTAATGCTGGACTCGTCCCTCCTCCTCCTCCTCCTCCTCCTCCTCCTCCTCCTCCTCCTCCTCCTCCTCCTCCTCCATCCTCCATCCTCCATCCTCCTCCTCCTCCTCCTCCTCCTCTCTCCTCCTCCTCCTGCCCCTCCTTCCTCCTCCTCCATCCTCCATCCTCCGTCCTCCATCCTCCATCCCCCTCCCTCCTCCTCCTCCTCCTCCTCCTCCTCCTCCTCCTCCTCCTCCCCCTCCCCTCCCCCTCCCCCTCCTCCTCCTCCTCCTCCTCTCCTCCTCTCCTCCTCCTCCCCTCCTCCTCCTCCTCCTCCATCTTCCTCCACGTTGCCGCCCGCAACTGGTCGTGAGCGCCCCGTAGGAGTGTGCCGTCCTACGCACAGAGCGTACACCACATGGGCACCACGTCGCTTGCCGGTGCAGCCTGCACCCCACAGTTCACACCGCA